GTGTAACAGCCCCGACTGTCCTGGAACTCACTCTTTAGACCAGGCTGGCATCAGACTCAGAGATCTGCCTGCCTCTGCCTTCTGAGTGCAGGGATTAAAGATGTGCACCACCACTTCCTGGCACATGACTCCCTACTTTTGATTAGTAAACATTTCCAGTAGATAGTCTTACTGTTCTTATTTACTTCCCCCTTCTGTGTAAAGGGATAATACTCCCCTGCTGGCTCGAATGCCCAAGGAGCATCAGGAAAGGGGTCAGAACAGAAGATGGACAGGAGTGCTAAGAAACATTATCTTCCAGTTTGGGCAGCCATTGTCATCAGGAACACTCCCAGCTGTGGCTATGTGCACAAGATCTGTGCCAAGAAAAACAAGATATGAAAGTAGGTGCGGGACTAGTTGGGGAAGATGGGGAGGTTCATGAGGTGGATAAAGATGATGATGGGGAGTGACCATGATCACAGAGCATTGTATTCGTATGAAATTGATGGATATGGAAAAATAATGAAGAGCAAAAAGATGCTGTACCACCCGTGGTGAAACTTCCCAAATCACTTCTGGATTCTGCATTAAAACAATTTGAAGATCAAAATGCCTCCCTGGAGAAAAAGCAGTGCTGAGCAAGAAATAAACTCAGACAGTGGTGATTAATGACTGCTTAGACTACACCCGGTGCATTTATAGCAGTTTTGAGGGTAGCACTGAGTGGAAATTTGTACATTGTGCTTGGTTTGACTTTGAAGTCCTTTTCTGTCTAGAAGAGCATGCTGGTTAGTTTTTGTCAACTTGACACAAACTAGGGAAGAGGCAACCTCAGCTGAAGAATTGTCTCCATCGGGTTAGCCTGTGGGCCTATCTTCGGGGCACTTTCTTGATTAATGCTTGATGTGGAAGACTCCAGCCCAGTATGGACTGCCCTGGGCAGGTGGTTCTGGATCCCACTTCTGACACCATTTTGTTACAAGAAGCCTTTCCTTTCTAGCCGCTTTGGTTTATCACCCGCCAGTCGCCTGGGCTCTGCCGTGTATCAGTCCCAAATAAACACACAGGAGGCTATATTAATTATGAAGCTGTTGGCCTTGTTTGTTTCTTACTAGCTAGCTCTGACTTAAGTAATTACCCCATAATTGTTAATCTAAGTATTTGTCTTACCGGAGAATAGTTCCAGGCTTCCTACCCCCATGGCGTTACATGTTGACTCTCTTGTGTTTCTCCTTCCCAGAATCCTCCTGGACCCCTAGCCCCACCTATCTAGATTCCTATAGGCTCAACAGTACTTTATTGACAAATAACAGGCAAATAACAGGACTTCCCCAACATCTAAGAAAGCAAACTGCCCCAGGCATGGTAGCACATGCTTTTAATCTCAGCACTCAGGAGGCAGAGGAAGAAGGACTTTGTGAGTTTCACTTTCTGGACAGCTAGAAATACATAGTGAGGCCCTGTACTTAAAAAAAAAAGAAAAGAAGAAGAAAAAAGAAAGGAAGAAAGCAATGTCAGTGGCAAGCCAGATTTCCATGTCTCCAAGTTCCTGCCTTGGCTTCCATTGACAATGGGTTGTAACTAGTAAGTCAAATAGACCCTTTCCTTCCCAAGTTGTTTTTGGTTATGGTGTCTGATCACAATAATGATATCCCTAACTAAATAACTATGACAACTGTATTACTAGAGCACAAGCTTTTTCCCCCACATCCCCACTACCTGGGTGCCATGAAGTGAGCTGCGGTGTTCCTCTAGGCCCTCCCCTACCATGGTAAACTGAAATCATAAGGGGGATAAATTATTCCTACTGGGCTTATTATCACAGCAGCAGGAGTCTAACACAACCTGGAGGAGTAAGTGAGACACAAAAGGCTGGATTTTTCTCTCGTATGTGGACTCTAAAACATATGTGTAAATAGAAGAGGAATATTATAGAAATGTGTGAGGAATAGGAGAGGATAACGGGGGATGAATGCAATCAGAATATGTAACATTCATGTATGAAATGATGCCCATTATTTTGTACAGTTGCCACACACTAATAAAACATTTATAAAACAAATATGGTAGAGCATTGGTAAGGGCCTGAGTTCCTAGAAACTCCTGTGGTGAATCCTACCTCATTTGTGGTGGAAATCAGTAAACACAACAATAGAAACCCCAGAAGCAGCACAAAACCATTAAGGATTTGATAGGTAAATGAATGAGAGTGGGAGTTTCTGGACAAGTCATTACTATCACTACCCAATAGCTATGCTAACTTATCCTACTATCCTAGTATGCACACTAAGGTTTTCATATGTGACTTTTTACAAACTTTTTAAGTCTTAAGAGGTGTGGCAGAGATGGCTTACTGGTTAAGACCACTTGCTGCTCTTTCAGAAGACTGGAGTTCAATTCCCTGTACCCACATCTAGGGTCTCACAAGCAACTGTAACTCCAGCTCCAAGAGATTTCACTCCCTCCTCTGTTTTGGTTTTGTTGTTGTTGTTTTGGTCTTCTTGAATACACATGAATTCACAAGTAATAGAAAAGAAAATCTCTTTAGAAAGATGCAAAGATGAAATTATTTAAAAGAAATAAAGCCTGGATCATACTTAAGAAGACTCTGTAAGAAGCCTGGGACTTGGCAGTTTCAAAAGCATCCTCCAATTTTAAGATGTGGGGAAGACTGTGACACATTAGTTTAATACTTCAGTAAACTCTAACCAACCTTGTGTGTCTGTCATGTTGCCTTGACAAGGATCTCCTGTGCCTGTGGTTTTAGCAAAATCAATGGAACTACCTTGGTGACTAGTTGAAGATAGCAAGTGCTCTTGCTTGTGACTGTGTTTTTCTATTTTTGGGACTAGCAAACAATTTGTGAGCAATACCACCAGATTTTCGGGGTGTGGTGTTTTTCACAAATTATATAAATCACAGTTTTAGCATCCATTAGCGATCCATTTTTGAATTATTTCATAGAGCAACCTGATTCTCTGAACCCACCACTCCATATGTGAAACTAGTCAGCATTCTTGTGTAAAGCGCTTTCCCTCATCAACTGGCACTGAATTACAATTCTATACAAGAGACAAAGCAAATACCTGTTCCTTTTAATAACCAAGAATCAGGCCAGGCAGTGGTGTCGCACATCTTTAATCCCAGCACAGGAGGCAGAGGCAGGAGATCTCTGTGAGTTTGAGGCCATCCTGGTCTACAAAGGGAGTTCCAGGACAGCCAGCTATTTACACAGAGAAACCCTGTCTCAAAAAAAAAACAAACCAAACAAACAAAAAACCAAACCAAAAATAAAAAACCACCAGTTACCAGTGTAAGAAGATAGTGGCTAGTGTAGCAATTACCCAACACTGTCAAACAAAGCTTTCCTTGTTTGGCTATTGTTATGATGTTGTGAGCTTTCACCTTCCCCATGTGTCATAATCAATTACCATAGTTCTTAATGATGTTCAAACCATCTCTAATTTGCCTGCTGGAAGCACTCCTCCTACAGAGTCTTTTGCCACATCCTCTTATTTCTCTGAGCAGTTCTTACCCTTCTGGCACAACATGTATCTCAGTCTCCCTTTGTTTTCTGTGACACAACTAACTTGGAGGCAGTCATTTCTTCTAGGAATATATGAGGAGTGGCATTGGCAATCAAGAACTCAGGCTTATTGCTTACAGGGCGCCATTTCTTCTGTGCCAGTGGGCAGAGTTGGGAGATGCATTTTTAAAATTCATAAGTTCAAGACTGGGGAGGTGGCTCAGTAATTAAAATGCTTGTCAGGCAAGCACAGAGACCCAAGTTCAAATCCCCAACGTTCACAGTAAAACTGGGACATGGAAGGTTATACCTGTAATCCCAGCACAAGGGAGGCAGTGACAGGAGGCTCCCTAAAACTTGTTGGCCACCTAGTCTAGCTGAATCAGTGAGAGACAGTCTCAAAAATTAAGAGGCAGAAGTATTGAGGAAGACACTTGATGTCTGCCTCTGACCTCCACGTGCACATAAACACAGATGCACACAAACTCATACACATACAAAATTACTTTATACTGAGGAGTACAAAGTCTAAATTCACCAATGGCTTATGGCAGGGTAACATGCCTCTGGTGCTGTCTACTGGGAAGCCTGAGGAAGGAGGGTCACTCCATGTAACTTCCCAGGGACCAAACTTTATAGACTGAGCTGTCTCACTGGCACTTTTTTTTTTTTTTTTTTTTGAGACAGGGTTTCTGTGTATTATTTCGGAGGCTGTCCTGGAACTAGGTCTGTAGACCAGGTAGGCCTCGAACTCACAGAGATCCGCCTGCCTCTGCCTCCCGAGTGCTGGGATTAAGGCATGCGCCACCAACGCCCGGCTCACTGGCACTTTCTTTGTTTAAATCAGACATATTAGGAACAAACAGTAAATAAAACTGGAAAAACAAACAAAGTCCATGGGAGAAAATACAAAATTGCACAGAAGACTGATTTCTAGTTTATGTTACTTTGTTTAAAGTTACCGACAAGAATCTGGAAAGTCGGCCGGGCGTTAGTGGCGCACGCCTTTAATCCCAGCACTTGGGAGGCAGAGGCAGGTGGATCTCTGTGAGTTTGAGGCCAGCCTGGTCTACAAAGTGAGTTCCAGGACAGCCTCCAAAGCCACAGAGAAACCCTATCTCGAAAAACCAAAAAAAAAAAAAAAAAAAAAAAAAAAAGGATATGGAAAGTCTTACCCACAAAGCTATAAAGTGATAATTTAGTGTATTTCAGTCTTTGCAAGGAACTTATAAATGCTACTTAGAAATAATTTACAAACGCTATTTAGAAATAAGAGACAAAAAAAGTCACAACCACACTTTCAAACTTGGTCACAAAACAGCGTTTGATAGCTTCGTGAGAGTGATTTGTGGTAGGATGGGGGTAGAAAGACACCGCCCTGGATGACACAGTGCGGGCAACTTGCTGAATTGAAGACAGGACAGTCGAGAGAGAACCTCCACTGTGGCTAGAGCGGCTCCGACAGCGACAGGAACTTCCGGGGTGGGGCCCGTCCTTTGCTTCCCCATGGGGAATGTGGCTTGTCTGCGCTGCTGAGATCGGCAGTCGCTTGGCCGCTACTTCCGTTACTATAAGACGGTGCCTGAGGTTGGGAGTCACCATGGCCAAGAGCAAGTTTGAGTACGTGCGGGATTTTGAGGCTGACGACACCTGCTTGCCGCACTGCTGGGTTGTGGTGAGGCTGGACGGCCGGAATTTCCACCGGTGAGCGGGCGGGGCGGGAGACCGCGTGCGACGCCTGCACTTCCGGGAACTGCGCGCGGGGGGGGGGGGGGCAGTTACTGGGGTAACGCGGCAGCCAATGAACACTCAGCATTGAGAGTCACCGGAAGGGCATGCTACAACCAGTATTGGCTGCCAGCTGGTTGAAATATTTAAAAGGAGAAGGATAGTGTAATTAGTGAAGAGTCCGTGCTACTTTAGGAGAAACCAGTTTGAAAGACCTTTGTCGGGGGAAAAAGACTCTTCATGGGCCACTCCTTTTTTTTTTTTTTTTTTTGGCTTTTCGAGACAGGGTTTCTCTGTGGCTGTTGGAAGCTGTCCTGGAACTCGCTTGGTAGTTCAGGCTGGTCTCGAACTCACAGAGATCCGCCTGCCTCTGCCTCCCGAGTGCTGGGATTAAAGGCGTGCGCCACCAACGCCCGGCTTATGGGCCACTCCTTAAACTCCAGCAAATGTGCAACCCTTTTGTTATCTTTGAGGGCTGACTGTTAAGAGGCTTCTGTAAGCCTAGCGAATGGCAGGAGTTGACAGTATGTCCCTTTCTCATTGTCAGTTTCAGATTGCACGGACCTATTGCACTATAATCAGCCGAAAAAAGAGGGGGACAATGTGAACCGATGGGGACTTAATTTCCATAAAGGGCTAGTTATTATCATCATTTAATAGCTGTATAAGTACATAGTGTTATAATAATGTGTACTGGACACTTAATAAGAGCCAGGCATAATTACATTTTGATTTCCTAATCATCAGGAGTAATAAGGTAATAGATATTCTCTATTTACCCAGTAAGGTGAACTTCACAGGAAAGTGAATTGAAGCCTAGTAGTTATATACCTTTTTGTCAACCAGTCATAGCACGAAAGAAAATGGATTTTTTTTCTGTATGTGCTTATGTGTATGTAATTATGTGGTTAATTTTGGGGTGTCACCCTTCAGAGCTGCCCACCTTGTCTTTTTTTGTTTGTTTGCCTGTTTGTTTTTCAATACAGAGTTTCTCTGTGTAGCTTTGGAGCCTGTCCTGGAACTCTGTAGACCAGGCTGCCCTTGAACTCACAGAGATCCACCTGCCTCTGCCTCCTGACTGTTGGGCTTAAAAATGAGCACCACCTCCGCCTGGCCATTTTGTCTTCTTTGAAACAGGGTCTCTCATGGAATTTCCTTGGAACTCACCAAGTGCTATAGTCTGGTGGTCATCTAGGCCCCAGGAATTCTCCTGTCTCCACCTCCCCAGCATTGGGGTTACAAGCAGGTGCCACCAAGCCCTGCCCCGTTTACGTTTCAGGGATATAAAATGGTCTTCATATTTTTTTTTTTTTGTTTGTTTTTTCGAGACAAGGTTTCTCTGTGGCTTTGGAGGCTGTCCTGGAACTCGCTTGGTAGTCCAGGCTGGTTTTGAACTCACAGAGATCCGCCTGCCTCTGCCTCCCAAGTGCTGGGATTAAAGGCGTGCGCCACCAATGCCCAGCTTTGGTCTTCATATTTATAACACAGTCTGCCTACTGAGCGATTTCTCCGTCTCTGTGCAGCAGTTCTCAAGGCATTATGTTAAGCTGTAGCTAGTAGCACGCTTGCGACATTGTCCCCTCTTAACTGTTCCGTGTTGGTACTGACCGACTCTCCACCATCTGTACCCTTCTCTTTCCTCTCTGAAGATTTGCTGAGAAGCACAACTTTGCAAAACCTAATGACAGTCGAGCCCTCCAGCTGATGACCAAATGTGCCCAGACAGTAATGCAGGAGCTGGAGGACATTGTGATTGCATATGGACAGAGCGATGAGTACAGCTTTGTGTTCAGGCGGAAAAGCAATTGGTTTAAGAGGAGAGCCAGGTGAGTTTTAAAACCAGCCTCCCATTGGGCATTTTCTTCTGTTCTCTGCTCTTCTGTTTATCTTGACAACAGCTGAGTCTTTAAAGATTTCAGGTGATGCTGCATCTACAAGATGCGCATTTCCTGTTTTGATTTTTTTTCCTTCCATTGAGGTCTGAGCATTCTTGTTGATCTATTTTTTCAGGTGCTCTCTTTATCCGATTCTTTCCCATCTATATCCCACCAGTCCAGCTTGAGACTGACCTACATTGAATATTTAGACTGTAAACAGAGAATAGAAAAATAGAGTATTGGTGATTCATAGGTAGCTTTGCCAGTGTAATTCCTTCCATGCATTAAAGTATTATTTATATTTTTAACTAAGGAGATAAAGTTGATATTAACTTGGTAGTAGATTGAAACTCTTAGAGGAATCAAATTGTATGATAAATTGGTTTTTAAAATATTGGTTCCCTTTCTTCTAAGATTAAAAACTATTCCAAAACTTCCAAACAACAACAAAATCATGAACCAAAAATTTATACTACATCCTATGGAGAAAAATTTGGAGTGTGCTGGGTAGTTTCATGTCAATTTGACCCAAGCTAAAGTCATCTGAGAAGGAACCTCAATTAAGAAAATGCCTCCAGAAGATGCAACTATAGGAAAGCCTGTAGGACATTTTCTTAGTTAGTGATTGATGGGGGAGGACCGAGATCATGTAGGTGGTGCCATCCCTGGGCTGGTTATCCTGGGTTCCTTAAGAAAACAGACTAAGCAAGCTGAGGGGAGCAAGCCAGTAAGCAGCACCCCTCCATGGCCTTTGCTTCAGCTCCTGCCTCCAGGGTCCTGCTCTGTGAAAGTTCCTGTCCTGACTTCCTTCGATGATGGACAGTGGTGTGGAAATATAAACCAAATAAACCCCTTCCTGCCCAAATTGGTTTTGGTCATGGTGTTTCACTGCAGTAATAATATCCCTAACTAAGATAGTGAGTAACTAAGGTAGAGGCAGGCTACATAGTTTTTCTTAGCTGAATATATTTTATCTTCTGGCTGGTTGGACAGTTTGTGTAATTTCTCTGTTGCATCCACAGGTCCTATCTTGGTGTCGAATTAATATCAAACACTTTCTCTTCCCTTCTTCTACCCAACCTGTCTTGCATTTGCAAGTAAGTTCATGACACTCGTGGCCTCCCAGTTCGCCTCCAGTTATGTGTTTTATTGGCGGGATTACTTTGCGGACCAGCCTCTTCTGTATCCCCCAGGATTTGATGGGAGAGTTGTGTTGTATCCTAGCAACCAGACCTTGAAGGACTACCTCAGTTGGCGACAGGCAGACTGTAAGTGGCACAGTGTACACAGTTCAAGTCAAAACTACCAAATCTACATTAAAGCCATGGGTCTGATACAAGTCTGGGTTACTGGTATGTTGTTTGGAGTTAAGTATTTAAAAAAAAAAGTTCTTTCTTTTCAATAGAGTCTTGCTGTATTGCCTAGGCTGACTTCAAATCCTGCCACAACTCTAAAAGGCCTATGTTAAAGTGTGTGTGCCACCACACCCAGCTCTCTTTAGTTAACATTGATAAGTTAGGTGATTTTACAGGGAAATTACCTGTAGTTGTTTGTGGGGTGTGTGTGTGTGTGTGTGTGTGTGCGCGCGCGCACGTGTGTACAAGTGCATGTTTGTATATGAATGTATGTGTGCGTGCATGTACTTACGTGTGCTTGCCTCTACAAGTGTTACAGAGCCAGAGGAAGAAGTGGGATGTCTTGCTCTGTCACTGTGCTCTGCTTTACTCCTGGAATAAGTCTGGCGGCTAGCACATCCCAGAGAGCCTGTCTCCAACAACTCTGGGGTTCCAGGTGCACGTAGCTATGCCCAGCTTCTTTTTTTGTTTAATATTTTATTTATTTATTTATTGTGTATGCAGCCTTCTGCCTGCAAGCCAGATCTCATTCAAGGTGGTTGTGAGCCACCATGTGGTTGCTGGGAATTGAACTCAGGACCTCTGGAAGAGCAGTCAGTGCTCTTAACCACTGCGCCATATCTCCAGCCCTTATGCCCAGCTTCTTACACAGGTGCTGGGATCCAAACTCAGGCTCTCTGGCTTGCACAGTAAGAACTCTTACCCATTTAGCATTTCCCCCACCCCTGTTTGCTTTTTAAGATCAGAAGATAAGGCAGTCTTGCATTTGCACTCTGCTTATGCAGAGCCTGTGTGGTGGTGGCAGCTGACTTTTTACTTTGAAACTCACACACACAAGTCATAAGCTGCACAGTACCTATTATTCCCTACCATTCCCCTGGAGTTACTTACTGCTCTGTGAACTTACAGAGCATCAGTGGTATTTGTGTTGTAATGACTGTCTTACAGGACTACAATGAAGCTTGTAGTTGCAGGTTTTTATTTTGCCAGAAAAATTGGAAACAAAATTGAAATAATATGAATCAAGTAGCTTGGAAAATACTTTTACAATGAACACCTAAGTCAACATATTTGCATAAGGCATTACTGAAATGGCCAGGGAATAAGTTTTACATGCCTAGCCCTTTCCTTGTCTGTTCCCTGTGTAGGCAGACTGGGCAAGCCACTAAATGTCTCTGAGATCAATGTACTTTAAAGTGGAGAAAAGCTGGGTTTGTGAGTTCCTGGAAGCATAAATAGTCTATACATAAAACAAAGTACATATGCTATAATATATATTTATATGTAACTAAGATTCGGTATATATAAATGTTATTTTGTTTTCCTTGCAGGTCACATCAATAATCTTTATAATACAGTTTTCTGGGCCCTTATCCAGCAGTCTGGGCTAACACCAGTCCAAGCCCAGGAGAGATTAAAGGTATAAAGATCCTATAGCAGAAACACAGCTGACAGCATTTGCTCTGGTGTCTCATAGCATTTCTGGAATGTTCTCTTTGGTTCCGTAGCTTCCTTTACAGCTCCATTTTGAAAGGCCAGAAAGATCTCAGTATCAGAAGCTCTCCTTGCTTGCTGTCAGCAAGCATTGCCTATTACTTCTCCCTGGGGGTTGCTGTCAGCAAGCATTGCCTGTTACTTCTCCCTGGGTTGCTGTCAGCAAGCATTACCTATTACTTCTCCCTGGGTTGCTGTGCCAGCATGCTTACACTTGGCTATAGTGCCAGCGTGCTTACACTTGGCTATAGTGCCAGCGTGCTTACACTTAGCTGCAACTGAGCCTTGGCTCCCCTCTTTAGACAGTACATGCACTCTTCTCCTTCGTCCTGCATGGCGTCTTCCCTCATGCCATGTCCTCCTGGGCTCCTTTTGCTTTTTAGGCTTAGAACCCCTGAGTATGGTGAGAGTCAGTACTCTGAGAATCAGATGAGCATCCTTTCTGCCTCAGTAAAATTTAGGAATAATAGTTTACCTCACAGGCTTATACAAAGAACATACTTTGATGCATCTAAACCCATGGAGAAGTAAGTGTCGAATAAGTACTGGCCTTCATTCTGAGATAACACTGCTTCCTGTGGGGTAACTGATTCTGCAGTGACGTGACGCACTGTGGCAGGTCCTGATATGATGTCTTCTACTTTATGATCACTGAGGTAGTTGACCTTACTAATACTGTCAGTAGTGAAGACTTAACACCAGTGTGAACGCCAGCAGCCATGTCTAGTGAGGGCCCAAATCAGATTTTGCTTCCTCTTAGAAGGGTAGAGAAAGACAGCCTTCATCCGCTCTTTCTTCCCTGAAATGGAGATGACATAGTGATCAAACAAGAAACATTAACACCAAGTTTATATACACAGAGATTTTGTTTACTGTTAGCTCCTGCGAACCACACATAGTCTGGACAATGCAACCAGGGTTTACCCCAGAAGGGGATTTGATGAATGTAGACATCTAGATTAGATTAGGATCTCAGGGGCTGGTGATAATCTACATTAGATGAGAATGTCGGGGGCTGAGGTGTGGCTCAGCAGTAGAGTGATCTGAGTTTTAATTAAAATGAGAATTCATTAGTAGCTGTAAGATGAGCTCTAGCAATCCTTCTCTTCAGTGGTGGGAGTATAGGAGGAAGACCTGCTGAGCTTTGCCTCTCTGTGTGTTTCCTCAGGGGACCCTAGCAGGAGACAAGAATGAAATTCTCTTCTCTCAGTTCCACATCAACTACAATGACGAGCCACAGATGTACAGGAAAGGGACAGTGCTGGTGTGGCAAAAGGTAAGGCTATCTATCCGGAGGAAAATGGCGGCCAGGACGTGGGGGCCCCAGGCTCCCCCAGGTTATGTTTTGCCCAACACTCTGTGCGTGGGCAAGGTGCAGGCTGCTAACGTGACATCGATACTTTCCAAAAGGAGGTGCTGTAGAGGGACAGTTTGAATGCTCATTTCATCAGTCAGCAGTGGCCTGGAATCTCTGAGTTGATGTAAATAGTGTCACAGAATTTTAAATTAGTAGTTCTCTGTGTCCTCATATCAAATAAATCCTCTAATCGGGCAGGATAAGGCTGGAGAGATGGCCCATTAGCTAGGAGCTTTGTTGCTTTCTTAGAGAACTTGGGTTCAGTTCCCAGCACCCACATGGTGGCTCACAATCCTGTGTAGTTCTAGTCCCAGGGGATTTGATACCTCTTTCTGACCTCCCCTGGCATAGCATGCATGTAGTACACCTATGTACACACATGGAAGCACAATACTCATACATGTGAAATAAAAATAAGCCAGGTGTGGTGGTGCACACCTTTAATCCTAGCACGTGGGAGGCAGAGGCAGACAGAACTCTGAGTTTAAGGCCAGCCTGGTCTACATAATGAGTTCCAGGTCAGCCAGGGTTACATAGTGAGACTCTGTCTTCAAAATAAAATAAACACTTTTTAAGGAGTAGACTATAGACAGGAAGAATTTTGCTTTCATAGGACATTGAAAAAATACTTTTTCCCATATCATGAAATGGTCCATCTACTCCAAGACAGCCAAAGGCTTGAGCACTAGCAAATATTGTAAAACAGGGAGATGGACTTTGACTTTCAACAATTTCATGAGAGTCCCCAGAAATTCATACTTGCCTTAATATTCTTGGATAACTCTATACTTAATTCCACCAATATTGTCTTTGACATCAGCTCATAGGCATAATTATTTTTCTAAATTCTTTAGGGTTAGGTTTTTTTTTTTTTTATGAGTGAGTGTTTTCAAGAACTAAAGGGTGCCTTGAGAGCCACCCATCACAATGGCAACCTCAGCTCATTTATTAGCTTTCTCTTACATGTTTGTTCCTTAGTACAGCCTTGGGTATGTATGCAGGCAGAGGAAAAAGACCTTCAGGTCTATAGTCAGTGATAACCAAGAAATGAGTTCCCTTTTTTTAATTTTTATTTTTTCCTAAGTCAGGGTTTTTCAGTGTAGCTTTAGAGTCTGTCCAGGAACTAACTCTTGTAGACCAGGCTGGTCTCGAACTCACATAGATCTGCCTTCTGAGTGCTGGGATTATAGGTGTGCACCACCACTGCCTGGCTAAGTTCCCTTCTTGTTCCTAAGTCTACTGTATCAGTTGGTATCTCTGGAGAAACAGAATAATGGATGAATATAAATATAAGTATAAATAATATATAAGTAAATCACCTAACACTAAAATAGTAACAACAGTTGTTTCTCACCTAAGAAGATAAGAACCCATTAGTTGCCTGGTTCTTGGACTAGGTGCCTCAGCAGGTGGAGTTGTCCCTCAGGGGCTGCTCACACTGGCAAGAGTCTGCCTGGCTGGGTGGCTCAATAGTCCCAACCTAGCAGTGAAAACCTGCCGGGCTTCTGGGGTTGCTGGTCCCAAGTCAACACGATGGGAGCTGGTTTTGGTACCAGAGAATGCTGTCCACACTGAGTGAGTCTTCCATGTCAAGTAAGAGAGTCTGGAAAATTCCTCAGTTGAGTCTTCCTACTCAGATGCTTCTAATTGGTGGCATGATGACATTAAAGCCAATCATCACAATCACTTTTCAAAATGCTGTAAAGTAACCTTTTTACAAGATTTGTTGTTGCTGGCAATTTTGTGTGGCTAAGCACCAACCCAGGGACTTACGTGTGTTAGAGAGGAACTGGGCCACAAATCTATAGTCACTGCCCTGAAAGTACTGTTTTGTTCTGTTTGTGTTTGACACAGGGTCTCACTGTGTATCCCTGACTGGCCTGTAACTCATTATGCAGGCCCAGCTAGACTTGAACCCATAAAAATCTGTCCACCTCTTAAGTGCTGGCATTAAAGGTGTGTGCTCCATGCCAGCCAAATGTATTTCTATTTGGAAAGAAATGTCTACTCTGTTGACTTGAGACAGGGTTTCTCTGTGTGACAGTCTGGAACTAGTCCTGTAGACCAGGCTGGCCTGGAACTCACAGAGATCTGCCTGCCTCTGCCTTTCCAGCGCTGGGATTAAAGGTGTATGCTACCACCGCCCAGTGACAAAACAGTCAGTAGCATATCAAGTAATAATTCTCTGTGTCCCAATCCTACTCACAGCACTGCCCCTACTTTTGTTCGCAGGTGGATGAAGTCCGGACACAAGAAGTTAGGCTGCCTGCAGAAATGGAAGGGGAAAGGATGACTGTGACCCGGACCAGAACCAGGCCCGTGCCCTTGTACTGCGATCTCATTGGGGATGCGTTCTGGAAGGAACACCCAGACATTCTGTCGGGAGAGAACTGATCCTGCACTCTGCAGTTCTGCCCTGCCTAACCATGTGGGGCTCCGGGAGTCTCCTCTCCCGGGGGGCTCCAGCATTCCTAGCCCCCAAGGACACCGTACTGAGCGACGTGACTGAAGCTGGATGGAGACAGAGAAAGCAGCAATGGACGGGGGTGGTGTATCTTACTGTGCTCAAGCAGAATACCTTTCCTTTTTTACAGTGTTAGAACATGACTTCTTTGGCTCTTTTCAAAATCACGATCCTATTTTTATAAAAGAACCATTCACGCTTAGCTGGAGGAGTCGTTTTTTAGCTGTGGCATAAGCCTTACAAAAACCCGTCACCTCTTTTCATCTCCAATAGAAGAGGAGCCCAAACTTTACCCTCACCCACCTGTCTTCCCTAGAGAACACAGCGACTGAAAAAATCCCACTTCTGACAGCCTCTTTTGGCATGAGGTTAAGTATGGGTTGGTGCCTGAACGATGCCTCCAGACTGCGGAATCCCAGGGAACACTCGAGGCTTTGTGCCAGTTCCTGGGGTGGCAGCGTTGACGAACAAACGAGGAGTGGTTCCTTCCTCCTGCACCATTCCAGGATTGATTTTTCTGGAATTGTTAGCATGGTCATCGTCTTCTCTTACCAGGGGCATAGTTTCCAGTCAGTCAGGTATTTTGGGGAGGTGTATGTGTGTGTATGAATGGGATGGAGAAGCAGCTGCTCCATGGACACTAGAAGTACTTCAGTTGGAAAAGCTGACTTCGGGTTAGATGTCTGGGCGAGCATTTTCAAATAGCCTCAATGAAGTCAGAACCATAATAATTGAATTCAAGAACACAAGGAGGCCTGAGTCAGTTTAGCCTAATCCCAGCTCTCAGAAGGTTGGAGCAGGAATTAAAAACGTTTGAAGCAAACGACTACATGGCAAGACTGTAAAAAAGGGTGGGCTTGGGGACCATTGAGTTCAGAAGTTTTAAGTAGCCCCTCCTGTTGGCGCCGGGACGGAGTTGACAAGGGAGTAGTAAGGGATCATTTGTTCCCGAGGTGTTGGACTCAATGGCATAGTCACATTTTCCCTTGACCTTGTTTTATATTTTAGAGAAAAAAAAAGTATTTGCCTGTCTCAGGAATTAATTAAAAGACAGCCCATGCCCTGCTTCCTGGTCTTGATTGCAGAATTTACAGCCAAAAAGAAAATGTATTTCTGACAGAGCAGCGTGCGGCCCATCCCTCACCAGTTGACACCCCATCTGCTGGTGCCATTTTTTTCCTTCCTGTTCTCCCCCACTCCTCAGGAAGAAGCGGTAGAGCTCATGTTTGGTAACTGAAATAAAGATTTCAACTCCTTGGCCTACTTAATGGGTTTCTACAGAATGAGTGTAACGTGTGTGCTTGTGTTTGGGGAAGCTAGGATGCAGGGACCCATGTGGCAGACATCCAGAGACTTCTGGAGACATTTTTTAAAAATGTTAGTTTGAATACTTAATTTTAAAGTGCCAATGTAAGACACCCATGTGGATTTTTGGGACTTGGCAGTGAGATTTTTTTTTTTTTTAAGCCCAAAGGCTTCTGATACATGGCTGTCAGCATTATAGTACATTTGGCAAGCAATTCCCTCAGCATACTGAGGAGGCAGTGAGATCGTTAGCTCTTGATGAGCAAATTTAACTTAATGGTAAGTTGATAGCATTTTATATCAAAATTGGACAAGTAGGAAATATAAACCAACGTTTCATGACAACCCCTGGAGAAAGTTTGTACTTTCAGACACCTGGAAGCCTGTCTCTGGACTTGTCTTAAGATAGTCATTTACTGGTACTTATGTGACTTGGAGGTTTTCACTCAAGAAGGGGATTTTAAAGCAATAAACCAGGTTTAATACCAGTGCCATCAGGAAACCATTATTGGGCTGGAGTGGCTCAGCTATTAAGAGCACTGCCTGTTCTTCCAGAGGACCTGGGTTCAAACCAGGTTTAATACCAATGCCATCAAGAAACCATTACTGGGCTGGAGAGAAGGCTCAGCAGTTAAGAGCACTCACTGCCTGTTCAATTCCCAGAACCCACATGGCAACCACAACTATAACTTTAGTTCCAAGGGATCTGATAATCTCACACAGACACACATGCAGGCAAAACACAATGTGCATAAAAGTAACTAAATGCACCTTAAAAAAAGAAATCATTACTTGTTTAATTTTCACTTGGTGTGTTTTCATTCCACCATGTAGCTCACGTTGTATGTGAAGATATTCAAGCATCCTTTTGGGTCACATTTCAAACTTACAGAAAGCAAACAAGACCCCAAAGCAGCTAATGTAGGCTTAATACTGCTTGATTTGAGAAGGTGGTAGCAGTTAGAAGTGACTTGTGTGGCTGGAGATGACAGAAAACAGGTCAGCATTGCTGGATGAGGAGGTACTATCTTCAGGAGACTCACTTTTAAAAAAATTTAGTTTGGGGCTAGAGAGATGACTCAGTGGTTAAGAGCACTGGCTACTCTTCCAGAGGACTGAGGTTCAATTCCCTGGACCCACATGGCAGCTCAGAACTGTATCTCTAGCTCCAGGAGATATGACACTCTGGCCTCTGCTGGCCTTGACTGCACATAATGTACAGACATACTTACCTGCAAACACACACGTGAAATATATCTTAGTTTTGCTGAGTTGGAGCTATAAAATAGTGTTGTTTGATCTTAGGATCCTTTGGATTTTGCAGTACTTAGGAAAATAGCGATGCAGTTTCTTTTCTTTGATACTAAGGGGTCTCAGTGTTACTGAGCAGGGAAAGGAAATGATTGGAGTCAACCACCTTTTATAGTACTTTTCAGCTAACATGTGCCTACTGTGTAACTTGTGAACAGGCTAACTCAACCCATGTCAGGAGAGCAAAATGGAGTATGTTTTGTTCTCAGGCCCTTTGCCTCCAGCTCAAACTGAACAACAGAGAATGCCCGGAGATTTTAAAATGCCGGTCTCAAGAGCCCATCCCGGAGCATCAAACACCCTCAGCTGTCAACGAGTAGTTTTAAAAACAAACGGTTAATTTTTGTACTGCTTTCACAATGTTGGGCCTTATTTTCGAATAATTTGTCCCTAATTGTATGTTTTGTTGACGTTACATCTCAAATTCGGAAAAGATAGTAACTGTCAATGGGAGGGGAGAAATGAGAACTAAAAGTAGTATCTACTTCAGTAACAAAAGAAAAAGGTCAGAGGACAGCCCCAACCTATCAGCTGTCTGTGGAGGCGGAGCGAGGCCAGGTAGGTCACGCCTCTCACCACGCCCCCGCTTCGCGCCACACCCCCCGCAGCTCTCCAGAGCTGGTCGATGCTGCCCCCCGGTGGCAGCGGCTGCACAGTGCGTGCCCCGGAGCCGCGGCTGCGGCTGCGCAGTGCCGCCCTCTGCCGGCCTGGCTCCTTTCTCCCTCCCATCGGCCTCGGCTTGCGGGCCTTTCAAACATGGAGGAGCGCGAGTGGGGGGCGAGGTCGGCTCGCGCCGGCAGCCCAGCCAGCCCGCCCAGCCCGCGGCTGGACGTCAGCTCCTACAGCTTCGACCCGCTGCTGGCCCTGTACTCGCCGCGCCTGCCTCCCATTCCCTACCCCAACGCGCCCTGCTTTAACAACGTGGCGGAGTACGAGAGCTTCCTGAAGGGCGGGCGGGCCGGGCGCGGCCGGGCTCGGGGCGCCGGGGAGCCGGCCTCGGCGGGAACCTCCACCGGAACCTCCACGGGAGCCGGCACCTCGACCAGGGCCCGTCGCCGCGCCGCGCCCACCCCTGATCCCGAGCGCATCCAGCGTCTGCGCCGCCTCATGGTGGTCAAGGAGGACGCGGACGGCTCGGCCGGGGCTCGACGCCAGGGCCCGGGGCGCAGCAAGAAGGCACCACGAAACGTGCTCACGCGAATGCCCTGTGAGTGCTGCCTGGCGGCGGGGAGGTCCAGGGAGGGTTTGCAGAGGTCGCCTGCGGGAGTCCCTGGAGTCGTGGGGGGCGCGGGGAGGGTCGCCTGTGAGTCGCAGAGGCTCTGCACGAGTTGAGGTTGAGGGACAGTGACGACCCACTCGGGAAGATCTGCACAGACCATTGATGTCTGGAGGAGTGTTCCCAGGGGGAGAGGGGCTGCAGAGGGGCTGCGGGAATCGTGAGGCATGCGGAGCGATTGTGGGGCTTGCAGACAGAGTTTGGGGAGCATCCGAGGTCTGCAGAGGTGATGAGAGGTCTTGGGGACCACTGCAGGGAGATGGGCCGGAGACATACATATAAGTTGGGTTGAAGCACAGCCAGTCTTAAGGTGAGTGGGATTTGAGGGTCAGGTGGAGTGTGAGCCGATGGATCTGTTCTCATAGCACAAGAGACGTTTCGCATCCCAGCATGGGAAGTGACAGCTCCGCTTGAGGTGCCGTTTGCAAAATTGGCTGCGGGAGACGTGATCCACCTATGTTCACATTAACTAAATCACTGGTGTTGGAATGCTGCAGGCGCAGAATGCCACCAAAACCCAGGTGCGGTTTTACAGCCACTAACTGGCTAGGGCAGGAGTGTCTGTCAGGCTCAAGCTGCCCAGTGTGCAGGTTGTTTTAAATTCTGAAGGTGTAAATGGCACAAAGGAATTTCTTGCAGCTTCCTAATAGATCCTCAGGGTGAAGCCGTAAACAGCAAAGGTTCTAATGTGCTAGTTAGGTCTTGTAAAAATGGAATAAAAACAGCCTAGGGTTATACCAAACAGTTCTGACATCTGCCCTGTGAACACAGTGACCCACTTAGCCAGTCAGAACTTCTGTAGCCTACTAATTAAATCGTTACAATGTTAAAGTGACTCCTTTTGGAATAGAGGAGCGAACTCAGCAAGAGATTTTGCTTTGCTGTGTTCCTAGAAATGTGTTTATTAAGAGAGAAACATCCTGAAAAGCTGCTGCAGGTGCCTTTGTGGGATGACATGCGGTACCAGAGCCTTCCTGCCCAGTGAGGGTTTTCCAGAGCTGGCTTGCACAGCAGTGATGGAGAGACGGAGCATGCAGGGCCATGGAATAAGCAGTTGCAGTACCTTCTTTCGCCTGTGTGTTTTGCCACCCAAGTCTCAGAGTGTGACATTCCCAGTATTAGCCCTTGTCACTGAAAATGTGAAGCAGCTGGGGGTCCCATGAGAGATGGGGGGATACCATGAAATTCGCAAGGACAGCGATAGGGTTTGTTAAGGCATTTTTCCAAGGGTTAACCTCAGGATTTGAAGTTCAAGAAGGACATGGGTGAAAACACAGTCTTCAACAATCAAGTTATTCAGTATACTTAACCTGTAGCAGAGGCTAGCCCTTTTCACAAATGTGTAGGATTCATCTTGGTTTCAACACTGGCTTCTTCTACTTCCGGTTATTGTATTTTAGGAAGTTACACCGTTGGGCCCGACTTTTCCAAGGTGGTCATGAAAGTAGTAGTACTGTCTGTCTGTCACTGTAGGGGTTAAATTCATCAGCACTTGGAAAACATTTGCAACAGCGACATTCTCTAATAGGAAGGGTTCAACAGTGTGTACCGTTGTTTTCTGTAGGTTGTTGTTCTAGTGGTGGTCATTATTTTCAGGTTGACATAATTAAAGGTCAGAATACTTGTAACTGGCTGTATAGAGAATTGGTTCAGCTGATGACAGAGTAAGTGACCTTGAGCAAATTACTTTGATGCTGTTGAGCCTGTTTAACTGTAAATTGGGGTGAGGTGATGTTGAGGCCAGGAGGACCCAGCCTTCCCTAGGAGGACCCAGCCCTCGCTGTGGATACTTGGGCTAGGCGGTGCTAGACAGAGCTTACCAGAAACGAGGGTTAACTTTGTGGTGGATCTCTGCTGTGAGCACGTCTTCCTACGTTGCTTGCCTTTTTAAATGACTGAAGTTGTGAAGTGTGAGCATTTCAGTCTCTTAGTTGGTGGCCGTCAGCACCTCAGAGTCCTTCTCTAGCCCAAAATGCCCAGGCAACCCATCCTGTGAGGCAGGGAAGTAGGTCAGATAGGAACTTCTGTTGTTATCTGTGTGGTCCCTGAGCCCAGTAGTGCTGTGAAGGACCTTGTTGCCACCCCTGTGGTTTCCACTAGGGAAGGTGGTGACTGGACCCTTTTTCTCCAGAACCACCTTCTCAGAAACTCTGGGGCCATCAGTCAACCAGCCACTTCCTCCTAGATGGAAGACAGTTTCTTTTTTCTTTTTTCCTTTGAGATGGTTTCTCTATGTAGTTCTGGCTGTCCTGGAACTCACTTTGTAAACCAGGCTGGCCTCGAACTCACAGAGATCAACCTGCCTCTGGCTCTGAAGAGTGGTAGGATTAAAAGCATGTGCCACCACCAACATCCAGCTGGAACTATGCCTCATGTCTGTCTAGGAACACTTTGTTTCAGCCACCTGGGACCTGTTACCCCAGGTTGTTGTCAGTCTGGTCACAGAAATCTCTGTAGTTGTCATGTCTGTTTGGTATGCTGTCATTTCTGGAGGTCATCATATCGACAACTGCCACCTTGGGAGACTGTACTTCAACTCTACAGTGTCATCCTATAATGGCTCCAGGAGACACTACTTCAGCTCAACAATTTCCCTGGATGACCCCACCCATCTTTCAGACAGGGGAGGAGGAATACCTCATCTACTCATGGCAGCTGGAAGCGTGACTGAGCACAAAGTTATCAGTTGGCATACTGGGGGCTGTGCACATGCTATGGCCATAGCCTTTGCTATACTCTCCTCCTCTGTATCACCCCCTTATGGTGGAACACGGAGTCTAGGTGAACCCTCATTCTGACCACTACTTGTGGTCTTTGTGTTGGGCAGAGCCGGCTGACCTGGTAGCATGAAGAACAGGCAATCCTGAGGCTGCTGGCCCCAGGCACACTCAGCAGCAGCTAGAAGGTTGCTGGAGAGTTCCGGAGAGGGACTAGGAGCAGAGACTGTGCTGGCTGAGTCTGAAGAACTGAAGGGGTGCTGACATGACGAGTCTGTGGCTAGAGAAGGGCAGCTGAGGAGTTGTAGCCAACAATCAAGAGATATTGCTTCCGACTGTAGAGGAGTGCACCACTAGGAGAGAGGTCCTTGCACCACCTTAAGCTTGGAGTTGCTGAACTGACAATCTGCTGTTGATGATTTCCATCTGAATTCAGCAAAAGAACCCTCAGCCTACTGGTAGCAAAAGCACGTGTGTTAAGGTAGTGAGGCTTAAAAGAAATGATGGATGCAAAGCTTACCAAAGGGCCTGACTCTTAGAGAGCCTGGTGTGGCAGTCAGGAGGAGGATGTTCTGGTTGCTGAAGAGAGCCAAGAGACCTGTAATCTGCCAATCATCTGATAAGATTCTGGACCAAATTGTGCTTCAGAAAGAGAGTACCGGGAAGGTCTTAATCCCTGACATGTATAGTCCCTTGTTTTGTTCAATTTAGAGAACTTCCACCTTGTGAAAGCATGTGATGGGAGGCAGGGCAGTGCATATTTTGCCTAACCCAGCCACTGTGATGAGTTTCAATAAACAGAATTATAGAGACCTATTCCTGCAAGTGATTTAGAAGGTCACTAGTCCAATTTGATTCTACAAATGAGGAAAGTTGAACTTTTAAGGAAAAAAAAATCACTCACCAAGGTTACCGTGGGTTTGGATCTGAATGCTGCTTACACACCTGATTGTAGAAAGCCTGTGACACACACATGCATACACACTTATCAAGGGTCCAAAGCCATTGCCAGAAGACATGACCAGCAGCATTCTCTGCTCCTTTCTGCGGCAACTGTTCTCTCATTTTGTCTGAGACTGTATGTGAGGCCACTGTTTGTCACTTTGCCTCCAGCTGTACCCGGTTACCTAATTTCCAATCTGGCGCATAAACTCCCACTTTCGTATGTTGCCTCTTTTCCTTCCAAGAGGATTTTCCTTCGTTTGTCACGGTATTCATTTCTATGCCAACTCATGAATGAGGAAACCGGTTATCTGAATTGAAGTGCAAGGCTGTTCTCTCCTATACCCCTAGCAATAATGAAGTTTTTGTTTAAAAATGTATGGAGGTTCTTTGGGGGAAGTTTTTGTTTGTTTTTTAATAGTCAACCAGCAGAGCACAAAATTTAAATTGACATGAAGTAAGGAAAGCCTGTCATTGCCCCAAGCTCTGCAAGAGTCTCTCACTGTCAAAAACTGAATCTTTCCTGCCCAGTGTTCCTTCCCTGCATGGTCACAATGCTATGTTCACAAGATGTTTACTAGGACCCTTAAGAGCCAATGCTCAGCAGACATCCTTCAAATCATCAGGTCCATTTCCTCCCAGTATGAAGATGTACATTGAAATACCAGTAACTTCAGGAGCTCCCACAGACTATACATCAACAGGCCATTCTATAACAAAAACATTGTTCCAGAGTGCCATGGTGAAACCTAATATTGCATAAAAATTTAAATTTAAAAATATATAATTCCCCCTTAAAGGCAGCCATAACAACATACTGATTAAACTAAAATAGATAAAATCATAATCATTGAAACAACTTTACATTTTTTGAACAGCTGGACTTGAATTTACAGAGATCTGTCTTCCTCCCAAGTACTGGGATTAAAAGAGTGTGTCACCACATCCAGTTTACAACTTTAAATTTTTATGGCACATAATATAAAATTACTGTGATGAACAACTCTCTGCATCCATAGAAATAACTATAATGGTCATACTTTTAAAATATGTTTCTATATTTATTTATTTTTGATTTTTCAAGGTGGGGTTCCTCGTGTAGCCCTGACTGTCCTAGAACTCACTCTGTAGACCACACTGGCCTGAACTTAGAGATCCACCTGCCTCTGACTTCTGAGTGTTGGAATTAAAGGTGTGTACCACCATGGCTGGCTTTAAAATATGTATAATATTTAATTCTCCAAAAGACCGTTGTCTTTGAGTGGATAGCATGGATTTCGAGGCAGTATGAGGCCCAGTTTTTTCCCTCAAACACATAAATTGGCTTCTGGTTCACAAGAGGATTGACCTAGGTATGCAGTTCACCAGAATTACACTGAAAACACAGAACTGAGAAGTACCCGGCTACTATGTGGGCGGTCCCCTTTCTCTCTTTTTTTGCCTGCAGACACTTTTTAAAATGATGGTACATCTTAGAATCACTGCCATCATCACATAGAGGAGACATTTATAGCTAGTAAAAGATTTAGATTTGAGTCACGCATGTGGCTTTCCCACAGTCTGTTAGAATCTGGCCTCTTTTTGGAGTGTGTTGGCTGTCCCAAGTCCTGCCACTCACAAGGCTTCTGGCGGTGATATAGTGAGGTTGCCTTGAGTGTGCAGGGTGTGCGGGTGGCCTTGGCTAGCCTGCCCGTGAAGGCAGGTGTTACCCATTGCTGACCAAGGTCGTCTCTTGTTTCAGTGCACGAAGGCAGCCCTCTGGGTGAGCTCCACCGCTGTATCCGAGAGGGAGTGAAGGTGAATGTTCACATCCGCACTTTCAAGGGACTTCGGGGTGTCTGCACAGGCTTCCTGGTTGCATTTGACAAGTTCTGGAATATGGTAAGAAGCCTTAAATCTGCCGTGTGTCTAAAGGGCATGAGTAACCTTATTAAGCAAAGCCCTAGGAAGAACTTCTCCGAACTGAAATCTTCTACACCTTGGCAGTCACCACTCAGAATTGCTTTTCTGCTCCTGCCCTTAAAGCAGCATGTTCAGCCTGGGCAGATTTGCTCTTCCCTCCCTCCCGGGATCTGGGGCAGTGTGTGGAGATTTAATTATTTTTAATTGTCACATCTGTAGGAGATGGTGGATTACTGCCTTATAAACATTGACAGCACGGAAGACAGCCACCCTCCACCAAACAAGGACCTATCTTGTCCTTCGTGCCCTTAGTGCTTAGGTTGAGATGCTTAACCTTAAGGAACAATTATGTCATCAATTAGTACTTTTGAATAGGCTGGTTACCGGCCATTCTCTGTGTTTGTTTTTGGTTTTTTTGGGACAGGCTTTTCTCTGCTAACCCTGGCTGTCCTCGAACTTGTTCTGTAGACCGTACTGTAGACAAAGTCTCATTATGTACTCCTGGTGGAACTCACTATATAGACCAGGCTGGCCCAGAACTCACAGAGTTCCCCCAGCCCCTGCCTTCTGAGTGTTGCCATTAAAGGCATGCATCACCGTGCCTGACAGCCATTCTTTTGTTCCTGTCTCAAAAATCAACAGCTTCTGAGGAATGTGACAACTGGGGTCTGACTGCTGGCCTCTTTGAACACACACACACACACACACACACACACACACACACACACACACACACCTACCTTGTAGTGGAGCCTGGCCTCTAATTTGTAGGTAGCCTTTCCATCCCTGTCTCCCCTCATATCTGTTCATGGATGAGCTGCGGATTCTACTGTGCCTTTTACAGATAAAGACAGTTAACAAAGTACAAGGCTTTCGCCTGAGTCTTTATGGCTCCTAAAACCGTGTTTTTATTATGTACTCTTTGTTTGTTGTAGCTCCAGCTACCTAGAACTAGCACTGTAGACTAGGCTGGCCTCAAACTCAGAGAGATCCTTCTGCCTCTGCTTCCCGAGTGCTGGGATTAAAAGCATGCATCATCACCATGTCTGTCTTCTTTTAATTGGTAGGGAATTTGAATCCTAGTGACTTCACCATTTGGTAACTCCTGAACCTAAGTTTTCTCATTCTAAAAGCAGGCTAACATACTGTGAAGATTTTAGTGTTGATAAGAGCCAAGTTTCTCTGTTTGTCTTTCCGGACAGGATCTCACTCTGTAACCTGGAACCCATTATGCTGCCTAGACTGGCCTTGAGTTTACGACAGTCATCCTGCCTCAGTCTCCTGCCTGGGATTACAGGGGTGAGCCACCATACCTGGCCCTGGGGGAAAGAATTGAAAAATATATCTGTTGACAGTAATGGTCATATGACTATTTCTTTAGCTATGTAGGGTGAGTTTGCATTTTCCAGAGTAATTCCCATTGCATAATCTCATTGATCCTGACAGTTGCCATGTGAGGTTGTGCTGGTCTTGCTGATGAACTACCTGGTGATCCTTCATGTCACCCTAGTAAACCTCAGACTTACTGAAACTGAGGAGGATAAAGGACAGCTTCTTGGCATGTGGTTTATGGCTGTCCTGCATCAGAACCACCCGGGGTTTCTGTTGAATAGTACACATGGGATTCTCTAATAATAGCCTTGCTGGCCAACAAGTCTGAAGACATTTGACCCCAAGATCCTACTTGTAGGAAGCAAGAACTGAGTCCTGCTGATAGCCATCTGACTTCTATGCCCACGTGGTAGCACACGTGTGTGTGTGTGTGTGTGTGTGTGTGTGTGTGTGTGTGTGTGAGTGTGAGTGTGAGTGTGAGTGTGTGTGAGGTAAAAAGTCTGAGGTCACTTCCAGGGCTTGAAAACCTACCAGACCCTGGGCTCAAACTCCCACCAATCCCTAGGTTCATCCCAAGATCAGGACTTGAAATCCCACCAATGTTCACCCTGAAAATCTCTACCCTAGGAAACTCCACCTCCAAGAAACCTTATATTAGCCTGCCTTGTAGGGTAAAAGGTCCAAGCCCACTTCTGGGTTCTAAAAATCACTAGTCCCTGAGCCTGAAATTCCACCAAGCCCCAACGGGAAAATCTCTATCCTGGAAAGCTCTGCCCCCCAGAAGCCCTGCAGAAAGCCTGCCTCCTGCTCAGTTTCCTGCTGCTTCTGATCACCCTCTTGTGTCTCTGCCAATAATCTCTTGTGTGAGGTGTGTTGTGCAGTATGACTTTGTTGTCCTCCTTGGCTCCCGACTGTCAGGATACCTTTCCCTTTAGAGCTGTAACACTTCCATTGGGAAAGTCTTCCCCTCAGAGCTGTAACACTTCCATTGGGAAAGTCTTCCCCTCAGAGCTGTAACACTTCCATTGGGAAAGTCTTCCCCTCAGAGCTGTAACACTTCCATTGGGAAAGTCTTCCCCTCAGAGCTGTAACACTTCCATTGGGAAAGTCTTCCCCTCAGAGCTGTAACACTTCCATTGGGAAAGTCTTCCCCTCAGAGCTGTAACACTTCCATTGGGAAAGTCTTCCCCTCAGAGCTGTAACACTTCCATTGGGAAAGTCTTCCCTTCAGAGCTGTAACACTTCCATTGGGAAAGTCTTCCCCTCAGAGCTGTAACACTTCCATTGGGAAAGTCTTCCCCTCAGAGCTGTAACACTTCCATTGGGAAAGTCTTCCCCTCAGAGCTGTAACACTTCCATTGGGAAAGTCTTCCCCTCAGAGCTGTAACACTTCCATTGGGAAAGTCTTCCCCTCAGAGCTGTAACACTTCCATTGGGAAAGTCTTCCCTTCAGAGCTGTAACACTTCCATTGGGAAAGTCTTCCCCTCAGAGCTGTAACACTTCCATTGGGAAAGTCTTCCCCTCAGAGCTGTAACACTTCCATTGGGAAAGTCTACCCCTCAGAGCTGTAACACTTCCATTGGTTTTGTGACTCTGATAAGCTCTTGCAGTGCTTGGCTCCTCTCAGGGTCTGCTACATTGGGACCCTGTCCCTCATCTCCAGTCCACCCACAGCACACTCACCTTCCAGCTCAGATTGCTTGACACCCCATCCACTAGGTTCTTCCTTAGGTGGGTGTGAATGCTTCCCTGAGTTCAAGGAAGTGACTGTTGAGCATCTGGCACCCATCTGGCACCCCAGCCACAGTCTTTAAGGCTACCCTTTTCACCTGATCCCCTACCTTGGAGCTCAGGCCTGCAGTCTCCTTAGACCCAATTGAGCTATTGTACCCCTTTCTACCACCTTTTCCATCTGTCCCTGGAAGCTGCTTGTAATCACACAGCTTCTCTAAGGCCCTCGTGGCTTTTTTTTTACTTGGTTCCTGGTGGCTTCCTATTGATGAGACCTATCCCTGAGCTAGGTTTTTCATTGCTTCTAGGCAAGCCTTCAGGCCTCCTCAAAAGCCTGGTACCTCATTGGGCTATTAGTCATGACCCCTGTTGAGTGCAGTGATAACCCATGGGATGGCTTTGTCCTCCTTGGGTCCTCCCTGAGTCCTGGGGATGCCCTGGAATACAAGCTACAGTGACTTTTTTTTCATGTAGCCCTCCACCCCCATCCATGGGAACAGTATCTTCCATGCCCCCCCCTCTCTCTCACACACACACACACACACACACACACACACACACACACACACCATCCCACACACAACACACCCCATGCCTTTTAGAAAACCTTCAGCCTGTATACCTGGTACCTGACCTGAAGGGCCCTAAACTTGTTCACCTTTACAATCAAATTTGGCCCTAATATCCCTTAGATAATCAACCCAAATGGCCTCCTAATGGCACCCCAGATCCCAATATAGTCTGGGCCTTTACAAATACTGGGAAGGATCAGGAAATGGAAAATTATTCCCCATTCCTTATATTCAGGCATTCTCTCTCTCTCTCTCTCTCTCTCTCTCTCTCTCTCTCTCTCTCTCTCTCTCTCTCTCTCTCTCTCTCTCTCTCTCAGAACCCACCCTGTTTCCTTGCCACCTCCTCCTGGGAGCTGCCTGCTATGTTCTGCAGCTTCCTTAAGGCCTTTTGGGCCTCTGTAACCACATCCCTCCTGTCTCTCAGCTCTGTTCTAGTCTCACAGCTTCTCTGTGCCCTCTCAGCTCCCACTTGGAGCGTATGGAAACTCCCTCTGGTGAAGTTCATTTTTGTGACCCTTTGTCTTTGTCTCCATGGTCTCAGACTTTATTAAAGTCTAACTCTTGTTACAATAAGCAGCTTGGGTTCAGTATAATTCAGTGTCTCAAGTTGGTATGCTTAATATTCATATTCAGTGGGGGCAGTTATGCCACTGTATAAACAGTGATCAGAAAACCTTTGATATCTAAAGTTGCTCTCTTCTCTATTTGTTACTATATGCATGTGTCAGTGTGAATATTTGTCATCCAAGAGACACCCCCCACCTCCAACCAGTAGCCTGTCTTAATAGGGTTGGGGAATTGCTTTGGGTCAGACTGCCAGAGGTTAATTTAGTTCCCTTTGACTGCCTTATCCATGTCTCTGGGGCTTACTCCATGCCTGTTTTCTCTATTATTGTATGGAAATTCCTGTCCTGAAAACAAAAATCCGGGGGGAATGTAGGGTTAAAGTCTGAGCTCAGAGTTCCAGGGCTTAACAACCCACCAATCTCTGAGCTTCAAATCCCACCAAGCCCTGAGCTCGAAAATTTACCAGTCACTAGGCTTGAAATCCCACCAATCCCTACCCTGAAAACTCTGCCCCTGAGAAAGCTTATATAAGCCTGCCTCCCGCTCAGTTCTCTCTGAGTGGAGGCAGCCACCCTCTTGTGTTTTTCCCAGAAAATCTGTTGTGTGAGGTTTGTAGTGCAGGGAGACTTTGTGGTGTTCTCTGGCTCCCAACTGCCAGACTTTCCCTTCAGAGCTGTCACGCTTACAATGTCCACCTTCTCCCACATACACACAAATGTAAAAAACTTTTTAGCATTGTGTTAGTGTACACTGTTAGGCCCAGTGTGTCAGAGGCAGGAAGATCTCTCTGATTTTGAGGCCATCTTTGTTTACATAGAGAGTTCCAGGCCAGCCAGGTCTATATAATGAGATCCTGTACCAAAAAAAAAAAAAGTGTGTGGGGGGGGAACAAGGGGGGAAAACCAAACCAGCCAAATTAAAAAAAAAAAACTCACTTTTTTTAAAAAGCAGCCTTGTGTTTTTATTTTATTAAAGTTCTTGCATATTTACACTAACTGAAATTTCTGAATATCTGCCATGGGGTTGTAAAGGCCTTGCAATTGTCAAAAGAGCTCATCTAATATGCTGGAAGAAGCTTCAAAATCCTAGGCAGCCGAGTGGGGCTTTACCATCTTGACACCAAGCTGAGTCACCTGTTTAGTTTTGCTGTAATTAGGTGCTCCTCTGCCTTCTCCCACAGCCTTTATAAATAACACCCTTTCCCCTTTCTTCCCTTTGGGCTCCTCTAGGCCCTCACTGATGTGGATGAGACCTACCGTAAGCCTGTCTTAGGCAAAGCCTACGAACGGGATTCTTCGCTGACTCTCACAAGGGTAGGCACCTCTCCCTGACCTCGAGGGTACCCACCCTGCCTTCTAGCTTAGACACCATGATCACAAGCCCAGGGAACCAGGTGCCTGTCTTCCTCTCTCACTGCATGCTTCCAGCAGACCCGAACAGCACCCGCTTCTTACCTGCATACGTGAGCTACGAGTTGCCATTCAGCTTTGTACCACAGAGATAAGCAGTACCTTTTCTCTTGTCCTGGTTACGTGAGTTATGTCTGGAAATTGAAAAGTGACCATTACCTTTATAAAAAAAGTCAGTGCAAGGAGTTCACAAGCTGTAGCTAACTAATGACTCTTACCTTGTTGTGTTTATTGACAGAGTTTATATTGTAGGCATTACCATGGCTAATAGTTGTTGCTGCTTTCCTTATAGCTGTTTGATCGACTGAAACTTCAAGATTCCTCCAAAAAGGAAGCAGATTCCAAGTCTGCAGTTGAAGACTCCACCCTGTCTAGATACTCGCAGACATCCACTTGGAAGGTGGCTTCAGTGTGGGGACGAGGAGACACTGACCGCGGCTCACACAGGCGCTCCCGCTCTGTCCCTTCTTCCCTGCAGGCATCTGCAAGGGAGGAGTCCAGGTCTGAGCTGTCAGGGAGGACTACACGGACAGAGGGGTCCAGTGCAGGAGGCACCTGCTCCAGGGCCACCACCCTTTCACGGGGCCAGTCCAGAAAGAAAAAGAGAAAGCCCAAGGTGGATTACCAGCAGGTATTCACGAGACACATAAATCAGATTTTCATTCGCGGCGAGAATGTCCTGCTCGTTCATCTTGCACAGTGACCAGCTCAGCCCCAGTTGACCTTTGGGTTTTAGAAATAAAGTGCATGAACTGTTCCTATGCTATATCCTAGTATCCCAGTCAAAGTATGAGTCACAGTGATTCCCACTGGTCCTGCCCGTACAGAGGACAGAGCTGGCTCAGCCTCTGGAAACTGAGTTGAGGGGAGGACAGGTCAGCAATACTAACCAGGCAAAAACCATTCATAGTACATGCTCCTGACAGGCTGTCATTGTCTGCTCCAGAGTCTCAAGCATAAGCTGTTCTCTTTGACTTAGGATCATAATATGAGTGGAATCCAGTCCGTGGAAACTGTAAGAAATGTCTGAGAAGGAAAGATTTCATTTCTAAAAGCTAGTACTCTGAGCACCGTGAGTTTGATGTAAGAGCAGTAGTGTAAATTGCCCGAGTGCTGCACCCATATCTTGGAACTGACCTATGCTCTGCATCATGCTTTCTTGATCAAGCAGTGAAATTTCTCATCCTTGAATATTAGTAATGTCTAGGAAAGTTACCAGCTTATGCAGGAGCGGAGCTCAGCTAGGTGGCTGCTCTAAGCAGCCCATGGTGACAGCTCTGCTTTGTCCCCCTCTACTCGTGGGAAGGGATGCAGAAGCTCATCAGTCTTCCCCTCACCAGAGGTGGCCTCTGCACATGGCATACAGATGGGACTGTGCCGTGCTCGTGGCTCCTGTGTTGTCCTCTCCGACTCCTGTGGCATGGTGCTAGATGCATGTGCTCTGTGGTATCGCCCATGTGTTGTGTGTGAACTGTCCTCATGTGACCTTCGTGTCAGACTTCAGAGAGCTCTGCGCGAACTCGGTGATTAATACACATCTGTCACATGGCTGACAGTCCCCATTCTAGGCGGGGCTGGCCTTGTGTAGAAAGTCTCTCAGAATGGTGTTACTGTGAAAGAAGGGACATACACTTTTATTCCCTGTGTCACACTGGTGAGGTTCTTAGAAGTGAATGGGTATGTCCTAAGGGCACTTGACTCCCATTTAGGCTTGAGTGACAGGAATACCAAAGGACCCAGGGACGCGCCTACTTGAATTATATCACCATTTGCTTTTCAATCACAATACAGAATGGGCTACATCTTGACATAGACTGTTAGGCAATATTGATTTTCAAAATTTTGTTTATACTTCCTTTATGTTAGATAACTTATGTTCAAAGTAAGAACAAGAAATAGATAATTAGTCTAAATGTATGTATGAATAGAACATTTCTCCTGCTGCGTTTGTGGATAGCATGGGTAAGCCTCTCTAGAAGCAGAGTAATTAAAGTTCTGTTAGCTGGACCACTGCCTCATCAGACATTGAAAAGTGAGCAGATGTGCCTCAGTTTCCCCATCAGATACCTACCTCACCAGGGCACTGTGGCAGGATTTTAGGAAGGTGTTTTACAGCCTCTAAGCATACTTAAGTGCCATTTTTCCTTACTCTATTGCATAGCTCTGTAAAAATTTTCTTGTCCTATGAGCAAGGCAGGTGCTATATAAGAAAGGTATCTTCCCAAATTTCCCAAATGTCATTGTGGTCTTGTAGCCATCATCAGAAAGCTGTGAGAACTTCAGCAACTGGGTATCATGGTCCGTTCCTTCCTCTAGAGGGAAACGGGACATCTCAGAGGAACACCTTCACTAAGGAGAGACTGGCTTTCTTTTTGCTGCTCCCCCACATCCTGGCCCCTGCTTTTCAAGGGTATCTGTTGTGATACTGAAGGGAGGCTGCAGCTAAAAACAGCGCTATTCCCAAAGGGGGAATCTGAGGGCTTTCTGTCTGTTTGCCTGTTTTCATTTCTAATTGCATCTGAGGTTGAAGTTAGGACAGATGCACGGAGGTCTGTGGAGGCTCAGATACAGACTCAGGTTCACGACTCTTGTCTTCTAGTGTAAATTCCCTTCTGCCTCCTATGCCCGGTCTCTGTTCTCAAGTCCCTCATCAGGCTGTATCACCTCCATCTCCACCAGTGTTCTCTATGTGGCTGTCCTTGCCTGCCTACCCTCTTCTCCCTTAACTAGAAGCTGTAATGGATGCTCTTTTTTCTGACTATGTAGAAATGTGCAATCGAAAGGAATAGAAAGGATTTCTGTTCATGCTAGTGACCCTCCTGATTTATTTTATACACGTGCCAGTTTTGTGTTGCTATATAACTCTCCCATATTTCTATAGGGACTGATTTATAATTTTCCACTCAACATGACAACTCTAGCTGTGAAATTGTTTGTGCTCTCTCTTTAGATCCCCTCCATTTATTTGTTTAATCTGGACAGTGATTCCAAAATGAATATTCTTAGGAAATGTGTAACTTTATGCAAAGTATGATAATTATTTTTAGATAAGTCAATTTAATAAATTATTGCCTTTTCTTTATTATTGGAAAGTTTTTCAAAAATAAAGAAAAATGTGTTCTAATAATGTATTGCTGCTCAAAAACGATATCACATAGGTCATAATGGGTCATTGTAGTGGTTGGATTGGGCTGTTTGCTTAGTGGTAGGTAGGCCCTATGCTTGGTGTTCATGAGACCCTGAGCTCAGTCCCTGGCATGAATGAATGAGTGAATGAGTCAATAAAAGTTGCTATGGAAACAGCTCAAGTTTTCCTTAGGAGAAAGAAAGACCCTAGGGAAAGGGTGTTGGTGAGGTTGAGTACTAGAAGACACTAGAAGACCCTTCCTTCTGAGGAGTCCATGAATTGAGAATGGAGTAGGGCCTGCTCATTGGTGTTCTGTGGGGATTAGAGTTTCCTTTTGAATAAACAGCTTTGATTGTTCAAACTAATCTCTAGATACCCAAATAATCCACAGAATAGTCCTGTATTCTTGTTGAGGTCTTTTCAGGAGTGTTTGGCTTTATCAGGTGGTAATGTTGCCAGCAATTAGTAAGGCCAGTGATTGGCTTGCTTTTTGTTTTCATTTGTTTGTTTTGCTTTGCTTTGCTTTGCTTTGTTTTTTTGAGACAGAGTTTTACTGTATCTCCCTGGCTGGTCTGAAACTCACTCTGTATACCAGAATGGCTTCATACTCACAGGTCTGCCTGCCTCTGCCTGCTGGGCACTGCCACTAAATAGATTGCCCTCCACTTCTGACTTGGCTATTAGTGTTACCAATTTAGCCACAGTTGCTGTGAAATTTAAATAGAAATTACAAGTAGGCAAGCATCAACACCTGAACAAGGTTGTTAAAGGTCCCTGTTCAAGTGTCAGGGAGACAGTATTGAGGACTGGGAGCCCTGGGCAATGTCCAAGGACTAAGGTCTTACATAGACAAAGGAGGCCAAGCTCCCCCAGGCACAGCCAACCATGTACAGATGCCAGGATTTCTGCCCGTGTCGCAGCAACTGGTTTGACAAAGTGGTCTGCTCATGTCTTTTGGCGTTGTTTGTGCTCAGCTTGCAGAAGCTGCTGGCAGGGCTCACACCACCACCTGGGATAACCACAGGTTGGTCAAGTTCAGACATATGCACATAGGCTACAGGAAAGTGGGGGAAGGAGCCAGCAGCTTCTGAAAGTGGCCGTGGGTGGAAATCCTGTTATAAAAGTAGCCTGCGTTAAATGGGCAATGTTAATGTGGAACCCGGCTCCTCTGTGTCTGGTGAGTAAGTGGCAGCCAGAGCCCTGCTGCATGCCATCCTGTGTCCTTAGAGCGTTTCTTGTGCTCCATAGCCACACAGCTTCCACCCGGGATTGTTTGCGTTACTGTCTAGGAAGCTGGAGGTTTTCTTTCTCAGGACTGGCAGGTGTGACAGGTGGCTTGTGAAATGCTTAGGCAGTTAGCCTCTGAGGCAGGGGCTTTGGAGCAGTCTGTACCTTGCCCTTTGCCGGGTGTTCATCAAGGCAGGGAACATTCCAGTGTGGGTACCCACGAACCCTTGTGGTGAGCTGTGGTCAGATCAGGAGCAGCTCCGTCTGTCTTGACAGGGAAAGAATGCCCCTTCAGAGGTTGTCAGGTCATGAGCTCTGAGCTGCCCTTAATAATCGGCCTCCCAGAGATCTGTGCCGACACTTCCCTTTAAGAAAAAAGAAATAGACCCAGCATGATTCAAAGTGGGGGTTTGTGTTTCTGTTTACACTCTCTCTATGACAGCTACCCTGGCAAAATCATGAAATACCGCTGGTTCTATAAATTGCTTCTTTAAATGTCCTGTAGATTTTTCCTGTAGGAAAAAGTTAAAATCATTCAAGGACAGCTAGCTGTCATTGGTGCTCCCCCAGAGCGTTTCATTCCCTTCTGCGTTTTTTTTGAATGAAATGGTGAATGCAGAAGAGTCTGGTGGTATAAGTTGAGTAGCTTGAGAGGTGTCTTCATTTTTCTCTTTCTGAACCACATCTGGAATACACACAGCCCATTGTAAGTAACTGTTCATCTGTCCGTGTCTTTCTTGCCCAGAAAGCTTTTTCTCAGTGACTCAAAGCAAAACCATCTCATCTGGCCCCGTGGTGTGTGGGAAAGGCAGGCAGTCTGCTGTTACTTTGTGGCATATTGGTGGATTTAAGATATGCCTTCAGGCTCCTGACAGTTATCTGAAGAAGGGTGGGTCCTCCATCACTCCCAGTGTTTTGAGTATTTTTCAAGTGTTTGTCAGCTCACTCCTAATAAAAGCGAAAGCTCTCTGTCAAAAAACGGCATGGGTAGTCTGAAGATGGGGGCAAGAAAACTCTGTGCACTCAGGACCTGGGGGTCTTTAAGTTGTCAGAGTCTGGGCTCTATCAGAATGCTTTCTGCAAACACAGGGTATCTCACGAGAGCTGGAAATATGGTTCCTGGCACACTGCAATCGCTCTTGATTGTGAGTCCTTAGGAGCAAATGTGTGATGTGCTTCCAGAGCCCCGAAGGAAATGTCTGGACACTGCCAGGGTTGCTGCAGGTCATTACCTGGCCTTGTGTGGAGCTGGACTCCAGAGCAGCTCTGCTCTTCTGTTCTCCCAACAGGATAGCAGACAGTAAGCTGTGTCCTAAAAAACTCAACACCTGTAATCCCAGCCCTTAGGAGACTGAGGCAGGGGGATCACTGTGATTCAGGCTAGTCAAAGCTACAGAGGGAAGGAGTCTCAAAAAAAAAAAAAAAAGACAGCAACTAAAAAGTGGTTTGCTTATTTGATGTGGACAAGTAAAGGCTGTAGCAACTGTGTCCCCTCTGTACCGTGACTTGGTGATGGTTTTACAAGCAGGGCTGAACCTGGATGACTATGGTTTCAGTGCTCATACAGCAACTGATAAACCCCCAACTGATCTCATCTTTACATTACCCCTGTTGTTAGGTTAACGGAGACCCTTCCAGTTGAGGGTGCCTGCTGCTAGTAATCTCCATTCTCAATGTGCTGCTTTTGGTATGTGTCAATTGGGAGTCTGGAAACTAATAAATATGATTGTATCCATTCTCTTGCTTCTTGGTCTCTGCTCATTTGAGGAAGTCCTAGAAAAATCGTGGGTCTCTTACCAAAAGAAGACACACATCTTGAAAGAAAGTATTTCAAGAGGGGGCTGGAGAGATGACTCAGCAGTTAAGATCTACAGTCATAAGGACCAGAGTTCAGATCCAAGCACCTACCAAACAAGCTGTGTCCTCCCTCATACACCTGTAGTCCCAGCTCCTGGGTGGGAAGACAGGACACTTGGTCTTGCTGGCTTCTAGCCTAGCTGAGAAAACTTGACCCCAGGTTCAGGGAGGGTGAAAGAGGAGGACACCCAATGCCCTAGCGTGTACACAAGTGCATACACACATTTACACATGTATATACTCACAAAGACAACAAACTAAGATATTTCTAGTCGATTGCAATCCTGCTGCTGTGATCTTGGGCCTCTTTGGTGCCAAAACTCACATCTGGGTCCCCATCATTGAGGCAGCTTTGTTCCTCCAAAGTTGAATTCTCCCACCTCCAAGCTGTACTAATTGCCCTGTAGCTTTCTTCTGCCTGGTCTTCACTGGCCTTAATCCATTCTCACAATCTGCAGACATCATCATCGATTCTTATCGCCTCTGGATGTTTTACCATATTGGAGTAATTGATCTACACACACTTCCAGAAATCTGTGAATGGGTCACAGCTTCCCTCCATACATGTAAGGAAGCTGAGTGGCCTGAGGGCTTGCCATATTGATGACTTCATTTCTCCTATGTGCTTTCACAGTACCCAGTAGAACAAAGAAACATCAGGCTGGCTCAAACATGGCATGCGCCTGCCATCCCAGTACTCGGGAGGTGTAGTCAGAAGGGTCAGGAGCTGGAGGTTATCCTAGGCTACACAGCTGTATCCAATCTCAAAGCTCCAAAGACAGGGTATAACACAGTGGTAGAGTGCTTGTCTAGCATTTGTAAAACTCTGGATTCCATCCTTAGTGTGTGTTTACACACACACACACACATACACACACACACACACACACACACACACACACACACACACAGATTCTCAAGTTGACGTGCAGTGCCTGATCTAAAAGACATGGGTTAACCTGAGCTCAACTGCATTTGTAAATTCCTAACCACCACAAAAGGGGAGAGGCAAGCCAGGTGGTGGTGGCTCATACCTTGATCCCAGCACTTGGGAGGCAGAGGCAGGTGGATCTCTGCGTTTGAAGCCAGCCTGGTCAGCTTGGGCTGATGTACAGAAAAACCTTGTCTCAAAAAGAGGGGAATGGGCAAGACCCACAGCTCTAGGTCTGGTCATTTCCCAGTTTGTTTCATACCTCAGAGATTGGCCAGGTTGTGGAAAACCAATAAATAAATATATCTTTACCCTGGCTTTCTGGGTAGGGTAAGCAGGAACTGAAAAAACTCTAGTCTTCTAGTCTTGGCTAGAATTATCTTTTTCAGTCTGCTCAATTGCCACTAGGTGGCAGTGGGTTAAAGAAAACTGCCTCGTTGGATCTCAGAAAGGCTGCAATCCATACTTAAATGTGTACAAGCTTTGACATCCAGAAAGAAAATTCAAAAATTCCGTGTCCGCCCTGTGACAATGTGGATTCTTTTCTTTACCTAATCTAAAGCTCATCCAAGGAGGGGATGAATTTAGAAAAGAGTGAGGAAAAATGTTCCCCAGTATACCTGCTTCAGGATGTCTGTCTCTATTCTCATCTCCCCCTGCTGGCGGGAGACTGGCCCCTGCACTATTATTGCCTTGAAGCCCTTGTTTCTTTCTCAGCGATTGAAATAAGGGTCCAGCAGTGAGACAGTGGTTGCTACTGTTTTTAGATTTCCATCCTCGGAATGGAGTGGCCACTCCAGAACTGGATGCAAACAGGTTCATGAGTAACAAGCATTTATAATTAACCGAGGAAAGCCATTGTTTCAGGGTAGGGGTGTGTCAATGTTTATCTACCTACCACATGCCAAGGCCTCCAAAAAGAGGCCTACCCTACCCTACCTGAAGCAGGATTTTCTAGCAACAAACAAGGGAAAGAGAAGTGTGCTATGTGAAATAATAGCTGATTTTCAAAAGAATCACTAAAAACAGGATTGTGGTTTGTTGCTTGCTTTTCACTAACTATAATGAAAAACCCAAGTTATAAAGAGGACAGTATATCTGACCCATAATTTTGGAGGTTCCTGCCCATGACTGATTAGCTCCGTTGCTTCAGGCCTGTAGTGAGGCAGCGTGCCACAGCAAAGTAAAGCCCTCTCTATTTCGTGGTGTATTCATTCTCACAAGGTGATGTTCCTGGGAGGATCTTTGACTCTTACTAATTACTTCCAAGCCTTAGTTTCCTCATCTCTAAAATAGGCACACACCATGTTCATCTTTAAAATTTGACCGTAGGACAGATGGTTCTGTGGTTAAGGGTTACTAGACTCCAGAGGACACAACTTCAGACCTCAGAAACCATGTCCGGATGGCTCACAACCAACTCCTGGCATCCAATGGGCACTTGTGGCCTCCCTGAACCTCTGCACACGCGTGGCAAACATGGATACATATATGTAAATAAAATAAATCTTAAAGTGTTGGTGACATAGCCTGCTAATGTTATAGAGCACACCTGTGGTGCCATTGAACTTGAACTTGCCGTGTGATGTTCTGCAGTTTCCCCTAGGTCTTGAGACCAGCTCCACCACACTGGTACTGCGTCCTCCTCCTTCCTCCCAGCACACAGGTGTCTGCAAGGCTGTTCCTCGGCTCCCCCAAATTCTCTGTGCTCCATCAGTTAGCTCTTCCTGGGCTTAACCTTTAGAAGATCACATGTGCTGCTGGGGGAGCTGCATGCTTCCCCAGGAAGGACATTAGGCTCCATGGGACATTCATTAGTTGGGGTTACAAGAGGGCCACAGGGCACTGGAATGGTAATTTCCTACAAGAGACCCCAGTGACCCAGTGTGAGCTAGCTCAGCTGGTCTGAGCTTGTGGCTAATGAGGGAAGGGTCATGGTTTCATTCCTGTGTGGGCCAATTAGAGTCACGTGGAAAGTACACTCTGGAGGCAGCAAGCAGCCGCTCACACATTAGTTGCCGGTCTCCAGGATGGCTTGTCACCAGCTATCACCACCGTCAGAACCCAACCCAATGCTTACACAGCCTTTCCTGTGACTGCATGGCCCAGTGGCCCCAGCACTCAGGTAACTGAGAGCATCTTCACAGTTTCTGCCTCGGTCACAAGCAGCCACCTGTCACATTTTTATTTAGCCACTGTTTTCATATAAGTTGACTTACTTTTTAACTTTGACATAAAAGGAAGCTGAGAAAGGAAAATCGAGGAATCTGAATTGGGAGTCTAGATTAACATATGTGACTATTCAAATTAAAATGTTCATCTTCAGGCCATCTATAAACAGCTCCTACGACAGCCATATCTATTAACAATACATGGCAATAAATGTTGTAGAGAGTCAGCATGTGCTGTGTAATATTGGGCAGTAATCAAATGCCATGCGCAAAGATAGTATTAGAAAACATTTGCTTCTAAAAAATAAAGTCAATCTGTCATTGTGGGGGGAACATAGGAGCAGTGACCTGGATATTTCATATTTCATTTTGATAAAATTATTATCCTTGCAGGAATCTCGACACCAAAGGCCTTTCTGGAAGCCATAAAGAGCGGCTATTAAGTTGGAACAAACTCTGGGCTTTATTTTCATGCACCTTTTACTCCAAACCCTCCGATTCTGTCCCCCTCACTGTCCATAACCCTTCTGAAACTTCCTATGTAGCCCACCACCTGTTTGGTGCTGCAGCAAGTACGAAGTGGGTGTGTGTGGCGTAGCCCTTTGGTTCTTCCAGTCATTAGCTAGCTTCTGCCCTCAGCCCATGTGATCCTCCTGCCTCAGCCTCCTGCGGGCTTGAATTGAAGGCATGCGCCACACCTGGCTATTTGATTTTCTTTTATAATATTAAGAGTGGTATGGCATGGTGGTACCCTTAATCCCAGCACTAGGGAGGCAGAGGCAGGTAGATCTCTGTGAGTTCTAGGCCAGACTGGTGTCATAGTGAACTCAGACAAGCCGGGGCTACACAGAGACAGCCTGTTTAGGAAGAAAAAAAAAAGGACTGAAGGTCTTTTGCCATATCCATATGTGTATCTCAGATCTCCTCCAATTTATCCCAGTGTGTACTGTGTTTTCTGTGTGTGCTTTAATGCAGACCCTGGAAGAAATACCCTATGCTCTCTCAGGCAGTCTGAGGGCTCAGGAGGAACAGACATGCTTCCACCCACGGGGCATGGGAGATACTGCTGACTTTGACTGGGGAAATGAAACCAAATTCAATTCTGGTGATAGCTGATGGTACTTCACAGTATTCCATGGACAAAATTGTCCCATGAGATACCAAATAAAGGTGCATAAAACTGATGAGCAGGGGATGTCCTTCTGTGTAAATGTTTCTTATTGGTTGATGAATAAAACACTGTGGCCAATAGAGGCAGAGAGATAGACTGGGAGTCCTGGGAGATGAGGACAAGTCTGGGAAGCGTAGGCAGGCAGTTGCCATGTGAGCCTCCAAAGGAGCTAGAGGTCTGGACCCTTATCCAGCAAGGTAAGACCATGTGAAAATACTTAGATTAATAGAAATGGGTTCATAATTAAGACAGAGTTAGCCAATAAGAAGCCCAAGACACCGGCCAACAGTTTTATAATTAATATAGCATCTGTGTGTTTATTTGAGGCTCAAGGTCCGAGGGACCAGCCTGGACAAGAGAAAAGAACCTAACGGTACCTAAAACTATGCTTGGACCTTAGGGAACACTCAACAAATGGCAGCTGCCGTGCTGCACATTGACACATCCTGTTGACTCTCTGTCCATGAGACCTCAGCTTTTCTTTCACTGTCTTGTCTCATGCTTCCTTCCACGTGGCCACGGCTTAGAAGCTCATCTCACTCACCTGGACGATTCAGTTAGCCTTTTCATTTGTCTCTCAGGGGGAATATATCTATTCTCATTGTT